TTTACATTTCCAAATGATACAGGAAACATGGGCAAGCTAAAAGTTTAACATGTCGTTCCAAAGTCCCCTACTGGCTTTCAGAACTTTCTGTACCTCAGGCTTGTACACAGCCAAAATCATGTCTTTCCTTCTGGTTCACTTTTTATCTTACATCCCATCGCTAGGCTAATCCTTTTGTAAGACTAAATTTAATATAGTACTTCTCTGATATAAAAGCATTTTCAGAATTACAGGACATAGTATCAATGTCTCATTGTAATATTCAAAGTCTTTATTTACAGAAGCCCCAAGCTACTTTTCAACCCAATTACTCTATTCTAAAAACCATTTCCCCAAATAGGCCAACTTCCTCATTACTATGTAGATAGCCTCCTTTCCGTCTTTTCAGGGTTACCAAATCTTACATTCCTGTTTAGGTCTATTTGTAACTTCTCTGTAAAATGTGTTAAGCATTTCAGATTTTACTAGTGTTTATAGTGTCTCTGGCTTCCCTTGATGTTTACAACGCAGCACTCATTAGTCTCAATGAGTTAACGTGTCTTCTTCTTTTCTACCCTCACTTATCTACTACCACGGAGGCAGGCAGTGAATATGGTATGGAGGGTTGCACCTATATGAAACGCTGTTGGTGCCACTGCTAATGCCCTGGGCCATACTTTACTATTACTTTATCAAATTCATTTTACACACGATAAGCTCACCCACATCTAAGTGTAGCTTTCCCCTTCCAAGAAGCCTCTAAAGCAAATGGAGACCAGCACAACTGGACACAATGCAGAGAGAAACAGAACATGGCAGCCCAGCCCCAACAGATATATCCACATAATCACAGCTCCTTATCTGTGACTCAGGGAACATTGTAAAGAAGGAGGTGGGAAGGTTCTACGAGCCAGAATACTAGGAAGTCTGTTTATGAAAGTCTCTTCCAGACATTGCTGCACAATAACAAGACTCGAATGACGTGTTATATCAATGGACATGTTAACATGGAAAGGAGAACATTTCACAGGATCCCTCCCCTAGATAATGAATGACTGCTGGAAAAGGAAAATTGGCCAATTCGAGATGTGCCCTCGAGTTGGTTGTCCCAGGCTGAGTGGCTAGCCCTCAAACCATATACACACTAACAACAGAAATGGACTTGGCAAGCTGTTACACAGATTTTATGTATATGCATGTGAATAAGAATCAAAGAAAAAGAGTCAGCTCGAAAGTTGGGAGTGACACTGGAAATGTTTAAGAGAGGGTAGTTGGGAGGGCCTAAAGGAAGAAGAGGAGGGAAAGTGAGGCAATTGTATTTTAAATAAAAACACTTCAACCTAAAAAACAGTATTATATCTAATAACACTGATTAAGATAAGGTTATATCTATGCTTACAAAAATCTTTTCAACTAATTACAAAGCAATGGGTAAATATAACCATGACAGAAGGCACAATACTTTATAGACTTTAACATTCCACCAGAGAGATGAACTATTTATAAACTATTTAACTGAAACTATTTTTCCTTTAAAAAAAGTTTATATAAATGGTTTACAAAACTCAAAGCAGAAAATTATTAAATGTATTCTGTTGGTTGTTAAGACAAATATGAGAGTATATTTACTAGCTGCTGAGACCAAAACTCCCAATTGTACCTTTGAGCTTTCAATAACCTCATACTAGGTTATTGAAACTAGAAACAAAGACTTTTTAATCCCCAAGTGTATGTATAGGTAAGTCTTGATTTATAAACTATTCTCAATTTACAAGGGGAGAAAATGATTTTTATGTTACAATTTATAGGTCATTGGGTCAATAATATAAACTGAGCTTTGATCATGACAACCTGTAAATCCCCCTTATTTGACATAAAGACCCACACTTAGATTACATCCTCTTTAGTCCTTATAGCTGCAATAGCCTCCTCAGAGATTTCCAAACAAGTGGACTTTTTAAAGATTCCTGAAAGATGTATCAATTAGATTAAATTCCATAAACACAATTTAATCATTTCTTTAAAAAGTAATCACAGTAGAGAAATGGCCCCATTCAAAGACTGAGAATCCAAATGTTCTAGCACCAAGGGTCTCCAGAAATGGGACTGGGGATATAGCTCATGGTTTAGGAGTGCTTGCTGTGAAAGCCAGAGGACCAAACCAGATCCCTAGTATCCACTTAAAAGTCAAGCATGGCTATGTATGCTTGAAAGATCACCGTGTGTGTGTGTGTGTGTGTGTGTGTGTGTGTGTGTGTGTGTGTGTG